TACCTGTCAGTGTCCTAAGCCCTGCAAACACAGACAAATTAGTTTTTAGGTACCCATTTTACAATGGGTCCATTAGGGTTAGGAGTATCTTCTTCTTTCTCTTTTCTTATTGGCTTGGAGATTCTTTCCTTGGGACAGTTCTTGGCCATGTGAAAAGTGTCACCACAGTTATAACATTTTCGATAAATAAACACAAGTTTAAAAGGAATTAAAGGTGTGTGCTTAACTGTGTTAACATGTTTTTTGGATTTTTTTGAGAGAAAAAGAAGCTTTGGAAGGAAAGACAGAGGATGAAGAGGGTTTTGGACCAAGAATCTTTTTTCAGACTTAGGGATAGGTTTCTTAGAAGAGGTAGAAAACTTGGAAGTCTTTTTCAAGGAAACTGGTCTAGGAACAAACTCAGTAATAGAAGGTACTGAGGTACCAGTCTGAGAAGCAACAACTGACTGAGATGAGGTAGCCGAAGGCTTATGTTTCATCTTCAGTTTGGATTTTGGCTTCTTATTTTTGATAGGCTTGTCCACAGACTTGCCTTTCTCAGCAGCAGAGAAACGACGGTTCAAAGGATGTTTCAGATGCTCAGAAGTTTTGAATTTAGATGAGCATGCATCAGGAGATTCCTTAATAGAGAGAGAGTTAAACACACAGTCGACAGGAACATTCTCAGATTCAGAGTTTGGACTTTTACCTTTGACAAAAATTCTGAACTTAAGAGATTTTCCATTATCATTAGATCTTGGAGAAAGAGATCCAACCGAATCAGATAAGTGAGATGGAGAGGAGGAAGAAAGAATGTGAGAAGAAATGCACATAGAGTCATCAGGAGCACACAGATCCATATCATCATAACCTAGGCCAGTCTTTACTTCACTAGGAAGTTGATCATGTAAAATTTTATCTAGGTTCTTGGATGATCTAGCCCATTTTTGAAGAATGGCTTTTTCTTTCTACAGCTTTTCAAAGACCTTAGTTTTTTCTTTGTTAAGAACATTGTTTATTAACTTTTGTTCTTTCAGATCATTTTTCAACTTATCAAAGTCTTGCAGTTGATTCATGCATTTATGTAACTGACTAGTTAGACTTTTGATTTCAAGGTCAGCTTTCTTCTTAGCAGATCTAACATTGTAAAGATCAATAGATAAAGAATCATAAGCTTGAACCTTTTCAGATTCAGAGAGAGAGGAAAAGTTGTTTACCTTCTTTGGTTTGACCAGATCTTTGTCATCCTTGGAGGTAGAAGGTAGATCAGCAGCAGCAGTAGAGGATCCCTTGACAGAGTCTTCTATCTCCTGGATTTTGGCCATAAGACACAGATGTGACATGTCCTCATCACTGGAGGAAGAAGTTGGCTCATCAATCCAGTCATGAGTCTCAGCAATGAGACCCTTACCTTTTCTCTGAAGGCTCTGGTTCTTTGCCTTTTCTCTCTTGTACTTTGCCTTGTACTTATTGTGAGAGGATCAGCTAGACGGATGAGAAGGATGATGTTTAGAGATCCGTTTGCTTTTGCACTCAGCAGCAAAGTGACGTTTCTTGCCACAGTGAAGCACTCCTCATTGCACAGATCAAGAGGAGCTGACTTAGATTGATCTAAGGTTCTTCGGTCGGTGACCTTAGATTTGGGAGAGAAGTTAGAAGAGCCCTTTTTGGCATAACTTTTGAAGTTGGTAGCCATCATGGCCATGTTGTCAGCTAAGTCATTAACTAAGGGTTCATCACCCTCATCATCAACATCATCAGCATGGCTTTCAGCAAGTTCTTCTTTTTTTACAGCATCTTCTATAGTGTCAGATAGATAAGTGATACGAGGTTCACTTACTGGCTTCCTCGTATCATTGCAGAGAAGGGCAACAGGAGAAGAAGTTCTAGGATCCTTTAATAATGCCTTTTTCAGAAGCTTAGTTTGCTCATAGTTATGAAGAGTTCCATAAAGAGCAGTAAGAGGCATATTTTCAAGATCTTTACTTGTCTTGATACAAGTACAGATGTTTTCCCAGAAGTCTGATAAACAGTCCATGAACTTGCACAAGACTTCTTCATTTTCATAAACTTTGCCATGAAACTTCAGATCATTGAGGAGGCTGTTAAACCTGTTGTAGTACTCAGTGAGAGATTCACTTTTCCCATGCACAAAGAGCTCATATTGCCTAACGAGGCCAATCTTCTTGCTTTTCTTTACTTCGATGGTTCCTTCATACATAACACATAAAGTGTTCCACATGTCCTTGGCACTAGAGAGGTTTACCAGGGAGTGGAAGACATCATTAAGAAGAGAGAGGGCAATGATAGCCCTTACCTTGGTGTCCAAGGAAACTTTTCTTTTGTCATCTTCATTATACTGAGAAGGATCTTTGATGATGAACCTTCCAGTAGAATCAGATTTCTCTTCATCATCATCAGAATCATTTGAAGAGTTACCTTCGTCTTTGTTCTTTCCATGACGAAGCCATACTTTAGGAACAATGGGTCCATACTTTAGGAACAATGGGTCCATCCTTGAGGATAGAGAGATATTGACTATCAACACCCTCAAGGTTGAGTGTCATGCGACTTTTCCACATAGAGAAATTGTTCGTGTTAAACTTGGGAGACTTGGCAATAGTGCCTTTGTCTTGGTAAGAAGAAGGAGTAGAGTTGGAAGAAGAAGAGGCCATTGCAGATCTAGTTTATGAGATTAAGTTAACCGCTTTGATACCACCTGTTAGTCCCGAAGGAGATGTCAATAAACAGAAAGTAATTGTAGAAGGGGGGTTGAATACAATTACACAGACTTTTTTCAACTTTTTAATTCTTATTGATTTATATCAAGAATTAATACACACAGAAATACAAAAGATTGTTGCGGAAGATAGGAAAGGAAAACCTAACCTAAACAATCTTACAAGAAGAGAAATTTCAAAAACAACACAAAGAGTTCTTGAAAGGAAATGAAGAACACTAAGAATTTCTTCGCACACAGGAGCAAGGGAGTAGAAGAGAATAACCGATTGCTTTAAGAATGCACTAAGTAATCTTGCAAAAGCCAGTTGTGTGCATGGGAGATGCACACTGCCTTTTTATACTACCTTCAGCATTTAATGCATGGGGACACTTGTCACATGAGGATAAGAAGGCAGGGGTTGACTTGACCATTGTTGATATCTCATTTTCATCGTACACAGCGTGCATACAATATTGTTCATGCAGAGACAAACTTTTGCAGAGATATGGTCAGTCTGTAGGAAGATCTCCTTTGGATGGATATGTAGCTTCAAGCAGCTACTCACAAATCCTCGGTCCATGAAGATCTTCAATCTTGGGTCCATGAAGATTTTTCAATCTTCGGTCCATGATCTTCAATCTTGAGTCCATGAAGATTTTCAATCTTCGATCTATGAAGATCTTCCTTCGATCGACTTGTAGCATCAAAATATTTTCAATATTCATTTAAGCTACTTCAGAGTCTTGGTGTGTATATTAGACAGTTGATCCACAACACCGTATCGGTGACCTTCTGTCTTCACATCGGCTAGTCTTCGATTTTGCCAATGGCTTAAGTATGTACCAAGACACCCATATACAAAGAACCAATAACTACTAAGTGTTGCTAAGGTAGAGTAACAGATCAGTGGGTCATCACCAAATCAATAGGTGACCCAACAATATTTGCATAAAACACTAGTTATATACATCTTATTGCTTATGGTGACTTTTTATTGGATAGTTAATTGTGTTGCTGAGCTACTTTATCAGTTTTGACTCAAATGAGTCTTGGGGGACGTTTGTCAGACTTAATTTTGTTATATCGAGCTTTTGAAATTATATGTAATCATAGCATATTTATTTGAAAAAGTACATGCTTTAAGTGCGTTAGGTCATTCAATTGGGATCATGTATTGTAGCTAGAAACTCGGATTAGTAGAGGACTCAATATACAGATCGTGTGTGGCTAAACTTGATAACCATGTGATCCGTAACAGAGGACTCAAACTATAAACCTGGGTAATTGAACTTGATGACCGTGTAGTTCGCAGTGGCTGTCATTTCTAGCGAAGGAGTATGTCTAGGATCGGCGAAGGACTCGAGCTATAGACTATGGGTGGTTGAACTTGATGACCGTGCAATCCATATTGGAACTTTTTGACATAGAAGGTGGCTTACTTTTGCGTTCACCGCATTTGATGTATAAGGGTCTCTTCCGTCACCAAAAGGTGTTGTTTTCGGATAGTATTTTATCCATGTTTTCAGTGTTGTTTTGAGTATGAAGTGTTTTCCATGATTTATGGTTTTGAACACTAAACCTTATCCATGTTTTGAGTATTTTTGGATAATAGTGTTTTTATCAATGTTTACAATATCTGGACATTAAACTTTATTTATGTATTGGAGTGAATATTGGGTTTTGAATTCATTTTGAACGAGTGTTTTGATTTAGAGTTTTCAATCATAGAAATAGTGGGTTTTGAAAAAATGTTGCTTTTACGATAAAGACATTTCATTTGAGAGTATTAGTGATACACATATTCAAATACTTGGTAAGCGTAGAACCATAAAAACACAAAAGAATACTCCATAAATTTCAAATTTTCTTTTTAGAAAAGGGGCTCAATCAGGCTTTTCAGATCGGGTTTCAACTGAGCCCTAAAATTACTTGACATGATTGGGTTTTTCGGCCAGGCTCAGGCTTACTAGGACCGAGCTTGTGCCTAATAGAACAGTAGAGCCTGACTCGAAGCTCATGCCTAATCAGACCTCATGCCTATGCTCGGGTTCACGAGAATCGGGCTCATGCTTAATATGACCAGGCTTAGTCCGGACTTTGGGAGGAGACTCCTTTGTGCATCTCTAGTTGGAGCAAAGATAGGGTGCATCGAGCAAAATGCAATACTACAGGGGGAGTTTGTGTCAAATTTTAAAAATCATGAAGTCAGAGGCTAGTTTCGTCATTTAAGAAAAACATAGAGTGGACTTGGCCTAAAATAGCTTGCAATCCTTTCTCTATCGCGACTTGGTAGCTGCTAAATGGAGGACGGACTTTCCAATTCTACCCCCAGTGACCGGATCAAGTTAAACGTCGGCGGCAAGCTCTTCGAGACCACCGTCTCCACCCTCCAGTCCGGCGGTCCAGACTCACTACTCGCCGCCCTCTCCAACCGCCAGATCCAATCTTCAAATCCGGTCTTCATTGATCGGGATCCGGAGATATTTTCCGTCCTGCTATCCCTCCTCCGTACCAATCGCCTTCCGTCCACCTCCCGCCGGTTCACCGATCAAGAACTCTCCGATGAAGCCTCCTACTATGGAATCGAATCGCAGCTCAAGTCTGCCATGCTTCCTAATCCACTTTCCGGCATCGATGCTTCTGTCGTCGCCACAATCCGACCTGCCTCCGACGGTGTCGTTTCCGCCTTCACCACCATCGACGACGGATCGGTATGGATAGCGCACGGCGGTCAGATCTCTGTTTACGATTGGAACTTAACGCACGCAGGTACTGTACGAACTCACCTAGACTATATCACTTCAATTAGGCAAGTTACGCCTTCTGCGATGGCGGCAATAGCGTGCGATGTCTCCTCCGGTGTCCATTTCTACAACTTTGCTAACGGGCGTCGAGTCGGCTCTGTCGAGTGGACTGACCCTACCGATCCGAGAATCTACAAGGCTCGAGTCACTACGATTACTGACTCGCCGGAATCAGTTTTTGCTGCCTTCGATTCATACCACAAGGAAAACTGTGTACTTGCAATCGACAAATCAACACTCCAGGTGACATCGGAAATCGGTCGACAATCTGGAAAATCTTCGAAATCAATCGTTCCTGGAAACCTGACATACGTGAAGGATCTCGGCCTTCTCGCTGCCAACGCCGTAACATCCGGAGCTTTCGGTTTTTCCGGTTACATCCGGTTTTGGGATCCCCGATCCGCTCGTGTGGTTTGGGAGACCAATGAGCCAGGTTCGGGACGAAGCAGTAGGTTTGGAGACTCCTTCGCTGATGTTAGCATCGATGTGAATGAGTTGACCATGTGCAAGATATGTTCAAAATCAGGCGACCTAGCCATGGCTGATCTGCGCAAACTGGGTGATGATCCATGGGTTTATTTGAGGGATACAAATCCAAGTTTGAGAAACACCAGTGGAGGTATTAGCAATAGTGTAGTCCATTGTTACAAGAAGCAAGTGTTTGTTGGGAGAGATGGTGGACTAGAAGTGTGGTCTAGAGTGGCACAAAATGGTGTACATAACATGGAGATTGGTGAAGAATCATTCAGAAGGAACTATATGGATAAATTGGAGGATTCAGAGAGAGGGATAATCAAGAAAATTGAAGGGGCTGGTGAAAGGCTTTTCGTTAGCAGGGAAGAAGCCGAAGGTCTTGAGGTATGGCAAAGCTCTGTGTTTTCTGGTGCAGTTTTAGTTTTATGACACTCCAAATGGAAGAAAGGAACCTGGGGCATGAAGATTGTGTAATTGTGTTGGTATACAGAAGAAGCAAGGTGCAAAGATTTCATTTTGAGGTAGGCATCTAACTAGCATTGATGGTATATCGTCTAGTGTCTTCATATAGCCACTTTCTACATGTTTGCTTTTATACTTTGTGTTCTTGTTGCTATTCTTGTAGCAATGTATTAGTAGTTTTAGAATTCAATATGTGAGATTGTTTACAAGATAGGAACCCTAGTGAACATGCGGCTGTTAATACTCTTAATGTTAGAGGAAACACGAATTATACTAGCGTGTTGATTTGTGTGGCTGGGCTGTAAGACAGACAATAATGTTACTTGTGACTTTGTGAATAATGAATAGGAAGTTCTTTAGCTTGAGTCACCAGAGCCCCATTTGTAGATTTTATCAGGAATAAGTTGTGCACTTCGACCTTCCACATAAACCCACGTAGATTAAAGAACCATTAAGCGTTAGGTTTGCCCTATTGGTTCTTTGTTGCTTGACCATTGTTAGTGAATCAAGATCCCAAAAGTAGTTCTGTGATGAAACTAGTCATGGGCCTCTGTTTTTTGAATTTGTGATCATGAGGAAATTTTGAAACTAGAAGCTCAATAGTTGAGATGGGTATATGTTATGAACAAACAAAAAAAAATTGTGATTAGGTTTGTTTAGATCTTCTTTTGAGCTTGTATCAATATGTCAAATAAGTGCAGTATTGGATCACAGTGATATGATTAATAACCAATTTTGACAATCAAACAACCGTGGATCAAAATATTGAAGAGGAACTAGGAAAAACGTTTAGACACTTTTCTCACAGATAATTTTGAAGAGGTCTATGTATATCTCACGTCAAACCATACTTTCGAGTGGGGTACACCGCTTCGTTTGGTTTGGTTTGGATTATACTGGGTTTGTTTGTGGGAATGGTCTCTCTCTCTCTCTCTCTCTCTCTCTCTCTCTCTATATATATATATATATATATATTGTTGTATAGGTGTCTTAAACTTTGCATGGTCATGGCATTCTTGTCCGTAATCCGATGTGGATAAATCTTAGGGAAGAACCCTCGAGAACTAGGACCTTTAGATTCAGCCTCCCAAAGAGCTCAAGGATTCAAACCTCATCAACGGTTAGGAGTACGTGTGAGTTTTTTTTGCAGAATATAAGTGTCATACTTGCAGAAAAAAGAATTAGGACTATTTGGTGCATGCAAACTCTTGTACTCACCAAGGGTTGATTAGTAGTAGCCTTCGGTTTGGACCGAAAATGATATATGGCCAACAAATGACAGTTAATCGTAGACGCAAACATGTTTCAAAGGGTTGTAACAAAAAAAAAAAGCCATATAGTTGAACAAGGTAATCACCATTTTCACTCGGGATAACTAAAAGGGCAAAATGCATAAAATAGCAATCTACTTTCATAAATTTCTTTATTATAGCATTGTACTTTCAGTTTTTCTTATTACAGCAATGTACTTTCAAATTATTTTTTATTTGGACATTGTACTTTGAAAAATTTACCCATTATAGCATTGAGTAACATTTTGATTTAAATTTACCCATTATACTAGGTTTCCATGCCACCTCATTGTCCATGTAGGCTGTCCACATGTACTATAGTGATGTGACTTTCTTACTACATCATTGTATTTTTTAAATTATTTTATTATAGCATCTACTAGTTATTATTAAACACTGTATTTTTAATTTTAATATTTAGATATTTTACATGTTTTTTTAATAAATGTATTAAATGAATTAAAAAAATTCTAAATTATTGATTAATATACCAATATCAATAAAACTAGTAGAACAMAACTTATCTCGCTAATATTTTTTAAAAAATATGTGTTTTTTGAAAAAAGAAAAATAAGAATTGTTCTTTTTTACCAAAAAATATTATCTTTACTTGACGAATATATTATATTTGTTAAAAACTTTTTACTTGACGTATAAATATATTAAATTAATTAGATWTTTTTGAAGTATTTATTAATATAACAATATTAAAAAATTATAGATAACAATTTATTTCGTTAATATTTTAAAGAGAACTTTAAAAGATGTGTATTTATTTGAACAACATAAAATAGGAAAAGTTGTTTTTTTTACAAATAAAATATATCTCGAAAATAATGTTGCATATTTATTTAATAAATATTTTACTCTAAGAATATTTAATTTAAATGCAACTTAATAAAAAAAAGTAAAAAAATAAATAAATGTTTTTTTTAGATAATAGCAATGAAAAATGAAAATCACTAATAATAATTTGAAATATGTTTTTATTTTAATTTTAGTTAAGTCATCAAAATGATGTGTCATCCACATCACCTCATTAAAGCCACACAAACAAAAAAAGTCAAAGGGTTAACCGGTTTAAAAGGKAACAGGTTACCCATTGCTATTATGGGTAGATTTTTTAAAGTACAGTGTCTTAATAAAAAATAATTTGAAAGTACATTGCTGTAATAAAGAAAAACAAAAGTAGAATGCTATAATAAGAAATTTTGTGAAAGTAGGTTGCTATTTCATGCATTTAACCCTAACTAAAATTTACGTTGGTTAAACATAAAATGTAAAATAGTATGGCCTCCTTGGGTTCGAGCTACACGACACCTTCCGGGTACATCAATTTTCCAAAAAAATGTATTAAATCATAACTTCAATATCAGACCTTCCAACCCAGATACCAATTGATTACTGCTTCAAAGTTTGGTTTTGAACATAACCATTGATACAAAACTTGCTGCCATTTGTTAAAGAAGACATCCATTTTCTGCAGCATATGATGAATCGGAATGGCTGTAGCCCAAGTTCGAACCCAATAAAACTGGTCAAGCTTCTGATCTGCTGGATTGACTTGAAATTCATGCATGACCGCCAACTGTTTAGGAACTATGTGTCGAACCGTTATCTGTTCCCAGCTTGCCGGATCAAAAACGGTCTTCCATGGCGACCAAATGTAGTAAGCCGACATATCGCTCGGATGCCAAGCATGAAGGACGCTTTTGAGCCGGTTACGAATAGCATGATATAGACTCTCAAGCTTCTGACCAACAACGGTAGCCATGGGTGCACCCACGAATGTATAGGGATGGTCTTGCGACGTGGGTCCCATGAGTCGACTGCAGCGGCTAACTTTGGCATGACGACATTCTCGAGTATGAATTGAAGAGCAGGGTGAGGCAGTAGTTGTTCCCAAGAATCAAGAAACCGTAGCAACGGTTCCGAGTCCCTCGCTTGCCAAGTGTTGGTAGCAGATAGCCTTATAGCAGGGAACACGACTTCCATGAAGAGTTGGGTGTAAGGGGCCGTTTACCTAAACACTTGTCCAGTAAGCACTTATCGGTAAAATTCAACACTATCGCTTATTTACCGGGTAAGATTTTATTCACTAAAACGTATCGTATGCAACAATTTATCCCGGTAAGTGCTAACCATGGTAAGAGTCGTCATCCTCACTTACTAGGTAAGACTTTTAGTCCTTGTCATATTCATCTGGTAAGGTAAAGTGACTTGGTAAGTGTTTATTCGGGTAAGCGTTTGGTAAACGGCACCTTGCAACAGGTCTTTCCATGGTAATATAACTTTGAGGCTATGGGCCGGATTTCGAAGTGGGTGCCATTCTTCAAAATTACAAGTAAATGGTATACGAGTATGATTTTTGAAAGTTATATGTTTTAATTCACGTAACTAATCGATAAATATTTCATTTAAATATAAATAATTTAAAATATAATTAAAATAATTGTTTTTTATAAAAAAAATATTATATTATTAATCTAAAATAAGTTAGTTCGTTATTAA